CCCCCCCCCGCCTCCCAGCGGGTCCCCTGCCTGCCTGGGGACACGCGTGGAGGACCGCGCGTCTGCATCACGAGCAAAAGGACTCGCGGTAGCTCCGCAGCCCCGGCGATGCGGGGAAGCCACTTGGGGTGCAGAGCTGCCAGCAGCCCTGCCCACGGCCCTGCTTTCCCTGGCGGGATGCGGGGATGCAGCCCCACTCGAAAGCAGCCTGCGCCGCTCCACGGCATCATTCCTGCGCCGTGCACGCAGCCGCTCCAACCCCGCTAAGGGGGTTATGTCCATGGCCATTGACCTTTTTTTTTTAGGGGTGGGTATCCAGGGCTACAAAAATGATCCGAGGGCTGGAGCACCTCTCTTATGAGGCCAGGCTGGGAGAGTTGGGGGTGTTCAGCCTGGAGAAGAGAAGGCTGCGGGCAGAGCTGAGTGCGGCCGGTCAGTGCCTAAAGGGGGCCCAGAGGAAAGGGGGGGACAAGCTTTTTAGTAGGGCCAGCTGGGACAGGACAAGGGGGGATGGTTTTAAACTAAACCAGGGTAGGCTTAGACTGGATCTAAGGCAGAAATTCTTTACAATGAGGGTGGTGAAACCCTGGCAGGGGTTGCCCACTGACTAGCGTTTCCCATCAGCTCCAAACCCAGTTTGCAGACACGAGAGGGGAAATCTGAGCCACGGGCGGTGGCAGCCCGCAGCCCCCAGCGGCTCACTGCCGGCAGCCCTCGCACCCCTCCCTGGGTGGGAAACACATCGGCTTTGCAGCTACACGGTTTCGGAAGGGGAAACCTCACCTTGAAGCTTTCGCGGGGAGATGGTCCCATCTGGGCAGATGTGCAAGCCTCTTGTTAAGAACCCCCCCACACAAACCAGATATTGAACAGCTTTCCAGCCCCGTACAGAAAAGGAGGGGACGGGCATGGTCCCACACAGGCCCCCTTGGTAGATGTGATGGGGAGCACACAGCCGGCCGTGCCTCCCGTGTTTAGGCAGGAGCAAGGTAGAGTACAATATGCATCACCATCCTTATTTCACCGTGCCGACCCCACTTTGTTCCCTTTGAGCCCAAAGCACAGCCCAGATGGTGTCACCCTGGGGACAGGGACCTGGGGACGGGGACTTCTGAGTGTCTTCTGCTGCAGGTGACCCGCTGGCAAGGAACGCGTCGCTCCTCCCGACAACAACAACAAAAAAAAACCCCTGAAACTTATTAATCATTGACAAAACACCAAATTATTTCAAGGGGGTGCAAGCTAATAGTGGTTAAATCTCATTTTACCCTCTCAAGGCATAGTTCTTCCCAGAGAAAGCCATGCTAAATTACGTGAATAATTTGATAAATATATTAACTGCCTAATGCCCCTGAAATGCATCTAATTGCAATTGCTATGGCTAGACAAGAAATGAGTCTCGAAAAGGAAGAACTCAATTTTTTACCATGGTTTAAAAATAAATGCTCTGAAGCGCCCGCTCTAATCTCTCCGCTTCTGCTGAGTAATTTTCTCTATCGCGTCTTCTTGGGGAGCTGCTGCCGCCGGGACGCACCTTCGCCCGCAGCCATCCCCGTGGCCCCCCCGTGCCGTGGGCCGGAGACAGGCAGGGGACGCCGGGAGCGTGGGGATGGCTGTCCCCACCGCAGCACTTGCAAGGGAGGTAAATAGTAACAAGGCTGCTTGGAAATTTCCTACAGAAGCAATTTCTCGATGGGAAATGGGTCTTCTAATGACCGTCAATTTTTTTTTTTTTTTTTGGTATTATTTGCCACAGAAAATTCTGCTCATGTTTTGGGATGATACTCAGATAGTTCAGTCTTAGTTCATTCCCCGTGGCCCTGTTTGTCTGTGGGAGGCTGAACTTCCCGGGATTTACCTGGGGCCCCCGAGCAATCCTTGTACTGGTGGGGAATTGCGGTGAAGGAGAAAGGTGGAGTTCACCCCCTCCATTCTGTCTCTGGGGAAAAAGAGAGGCTGATTTTGTGGCTGTTCCTGAGATGTTCCCGTTCCAGGCAGCTCCCCGTGCCAGAGGTGGGAAGCTGAGGCTGGGAGGAAACCAAGGGCTTCGTATGAGAACGCTGGAAAGCCAGGTATGGAAATGGGCTCACCCAAGGCTTGGGGTGGCCCTGTTCGTCTCAGACTGGAGGTGCAGGGACTTGAAAGCTTCCCACCAGCTCCGGTGACTCCGAAGCTGATCTCCAACAGCACAACCAGCCACAGCTCTGCCACACTCGCTGCTCCTGCACCTTTAGCTCCAACCCCAATCTTCCCTGGCCCCCAAGCCCCGTGATGGAGGCGAGAAAGCCCAGTGATGCTCCAGCATCCTCACAGCAGGGACCATGTTATTAAGCACGCTCTCATCCTAAATCTTTCCCACCTGGACCTGCAACGAGCTGAACTAATTCCACCTCTCCATGGGTTAATTCCCTGAGTTTTGCAGCCCCTGGCGAGGGCTTGTGGAGGAGCAGGGGCCAGCAATGCTGGGGCACAGCCACCCCTCCAGCCCCGGTGCCCTGCGGGGATGCAGGCGTTTCCTTGCAAGGGACTCGACAAATGCACGGTGCCGGCTTGACGGCTTTCGACACCCGAGGATGTGCAACAATTATTCCGAGCTAAAATTAGTTGCGGAGCACGTGATGTTCCTGGAAGAACGGTTGTGAGAGCGCAAAGGAGGATGCAGAGCACCAAATCTGGATTTCCAGCAGGACCGAGGCAGCCATGCCCGACCGTGGCATCTTCAAAGCCAAGCACGTGCCCCCGGGCGCTGTGGTGCCCCTGAGGACCCACATACGGGATTCGGGAGCTGTGCTGAGCTCCTGCCTCTGCCACCGACATGCTGCCATCACCCTGGGGGTGTCACTTCACCAGCACCATCCAGCCCATCCGCAGACCCCGCTGGCAGCCACGGCCAGGGGCGTCCGGCAGAGCCAGGAACTGGGGAGGCACAACGGCAGCGAGCGTGATGGGGACGTGGAAGACCCCCTCCAGCAGGCAGAGGTGGAAAACCACAGGGTAGAGGGTGATGCAGGGCACTGAGCAGGGATATTTTTTGTTTTTTCCAGGTAAAGGCCGTGGGCACTGCTGTGGTGTGTCTGGGGTTGCTGGAGCCGGAGCCGGTGCCTGCCGGTCTGGAATCTGTTCAGATAGGGGCTGCGCTGCAGGGATGCCCAGGGCCGGGATGCTCAGGGCCGGGATGCTCAGGGCCGGGATGCTGACGGGGGCTGACGTTGAGGTGGGCACGAAACCCCCTGACGACGCTGTGCAGGTGGGTGGCACACAGCACTCGCAGCACCGCGTGAAGCGGGCACGGCCAGCACCCACAGCGCTGTGCAAGGGGTGGGGGGCACATCCAGCAGCCGTGGTGCTGAGCAGGGTGGGGGGCACATCCAGCAGCCGTGGTGCTGAGCAGGGTGGGGGGCACATCCAGCAGCCGTGGTGCTGAGCAGGGTGGGGGGCACATCCAGCAGCCGTGGCTCTGAGCAAGACGGGCATGTGCAGCCCCCGTGATGCCGTGCAGCCCCCGCGACGCCGTGCAGCCCCAGCCGCTTGCAGCCTGAGGTTACGGGGTCTGGGGCCGCACGGCCGCTCACAGCTCGTATCTGCCTGACTCGGTGGGCAGGCATTCCCAGATTTCCTGACAGGTTTTGGATGGTGCGTTTGTTTTTTGATGTCCTCTAAGTAGAAATTCCTTCCCCCCCCCGCCATCTTCACTCGCACACAACCCACCCAGACGTGAGCACCAGAAACACAAGCCCCAGCACAAGTCAAGCACCATGTCTCCGTCTAGAAGCTGGTAAAAAATGTATTACCTAAAAATATCTTTTCAAGAGGTGATTATTTGAACCAGCAAAGTCTCTTGGCGAGAGGAAATGGAGATGAGGAATATCTCAGGGCTGAAGAAGCCCCTGGGACCATGCAGCCCTGCAAAACAGCTCAGATCTCCTACCTACAAATTGGACCTCTGCAGGGGGAGAAATGCCGAAGGGTGTTTGAACAGGGCTGTGCCTTCCTCCAGCGAGCAGAGAGCTGCGCGGGGCTCGGCCCCCCCGAAATGCCCACCGTGCCTCGGATGGGGCTCAGGCAGGTTCCCGGCTGGAGCCAGACCTCGAACCCCGCCTGGCTCATCGCTGCCGAGCCGTGGGATGCCCCCAGCCGCCCCCGCAGCCGCGGTTAAGTGAGGACTCGTGCATGGGCCGGCTGGTCCAAAAGATGCAATGATCCCATTTCCCCGGCCTCTGGGAACGGCACCGCGACGTGAGTCACCGGCACCAGCCCCTGGAGCAATTAAGCCGAATGAGTAATCTTCAGTTAGAGAGCTGGAAGGGGGAGAAAATAATGATAGACGCCTCCTAATGAGGGTTCGGTGCAGGGAAACTTTTGAATAAAACCATTCACATCTATTAATTACTATGTTAATTATGGCTGGGGGGGCTTGGAGCTTTCCACTCCCACTCGCAGCAGCCCCTCTCGCTCCCGGATAGGCACAGCCTGCGCGAGGCGAAGCCTTCCCATGCGCCCGCCGGTTGCAGCCCCCTGCCCGACCACGGCTTCTTTTTGGCTTCCTCCTCCCTCCGCCTTTGCTGAGCCCGAGCCTCTTGTCAACGAGGAAAAAATCAGGACAAAGCAGGAGGAAATGTCGAGGATGATGGAGGGAAGGAAGAAGCACCAGGCAAACCCCAAACACCCGTTTCTCCGCCACCTCCGCACGCACACGTAACCGGTTTGCAGACCCAAGTGAAGGATTGGGTACCAAGGCATGCTGCCCCGGCTCTGCGGGCCCATACATTCAAAAGAAATCACAACCTCGGCTCTAAAAGCCATGGGGGCAAAATCAGAGACCACCTCTGGGATCATTTCTGTTTGCGTTTTGCTTTTGGAGCTCTTGTTTTGGTTTTTTTTTTCCCCTGTGCATCAAGGACTACGAATTTAAAAAAATGGGGATGTTTTGGTGTGAAAAGAGGAGATCCCTGTAGTGACGGGACCGCACAGGGTGAAAGTGTTGAATACCAAAACCCTCTGAAAGCTGGCGTTACGGGGTGGTTTCCCACCCCGAGGGTGCCGGTGAGGACCGGGAGCTGCAGGCACAGACTCTGCGCAAGGCTCATTTTTGGGAGGGGGGGTTGGGTCTCTGCAGGGCTGAGCAAGGCAGAGAAGCGGCACGGGGCGAAAGCCGTGTCGGCGGGGCCGGCCGGCGCAGCAGCACGCACTGACCGTTTTCCCTGTGCTGGAAGGAAGGTGAAAACTCTTTGGCAGTGATCCTGGCGATCCGCGCTTCCTCCTGGGCTTTCTGTGCCGCCGTCACGGCCGCCTCCGCCTTGGCCCTGGAGTGAGAGGTCCTGCAAGGCAACCAGAGAGACAAGGACCACGACGTTAGGCAGCTTCCCTCTGCAGACCAAGGCACGGAGAAACCCAAATTGCCCCCGTGAGACCCTTTTGCTCCCACTCCCTTTGGCTGCAGTGGTGGAGCCGATGCTGGGAGCTGGGGCTTGTTGGGGAAGGGGTGATGCTATGCTGAGAACGTGTTCACAAACTGCTTCTCAGTCTGCAAATCACACAGGCGATTTGGAAATAGGGCCAGGATGCTTTGTCCCCCTAGGGATGCAGCACCCCAAAACAGGCTGCTCCCCTCCATCACGCACCCCTCCGCGGGGGACCCCAGCCCAGCCTTGTGTGCATCCCCCGTGAGCCTCCGGGGCTGAAGGCCTGAATTTAAAGCTGGTGGTGTGATCTTTTTTTTTTTTTTTTTTTTTTTTAACCGAAAACATTTGCTTTTAGATGAAAAAGAGAAGATTTCCACCCCCGCCACCACACGCTTTGCGTACGACGCTGGGTGTAAATACGAGCGGGGTTTGTCACCGAGCGCAGCGGTGGGAGCGGGGGCTCGGTACCGCCTCTACCACCCCTTAACACTTCTTTATTGGGGCATTTTTGCCTTTCGCTCCGGCCCAGCCACTGTCCCCTGTGCTCCCCCGCTGCCGGCGATTCCCCAGCCGCTGGTGGGCGATGGTGTTCCACCCCATCGCTCCGGATCTGCGCCCCCTCTGCGGCGCTCCCGCGAGCACCCTTTGGCGGCCGCTTTGCCCCTTCCCCAGCGCCGAGCTGTCGAGGCACTTTAAAAAAAAAAAGCCTCTTCCTCCCCACCCTGGTGCAGGCAGCACTATAAATAGTTCCGCTGATTTCTTTTCCCTCCAAAATCAGGCCCTCCATCTCCTTTAATCATTTTTTTTTTTTTTTTTTTCCCCTGCCGCTCTCTGAATTCCCTCTAATTTTTCGACATCTGCTCGGAGAGGAGTGCCATTTCTGACAGGCTCCTATAAATGGAAAATAGGGCTAGTAACGTGCCTGGCGTTGCATCGTGCGGCACAAGCCGGGGATACGAAACCGGGTGTGCGTGCATCTGTGTGCTGTCACCTCCCGGAGCCCCGGCGAGACGCCTGGTCCCTGCTCCCGGAGCCGACCTGTCACTTGTTTTCAAGTGCTGACAAGTTGTCTTTGCTCCAATAAGTGCTTTATTTATATAAATTGGCTGCTTTGGAGTTGCTGAGGGAGCGGATACGACCTGTTCTCCCGGAGCTATCGAAGGTAGCGGCGGGGCTGCGGCGGTGCTGCTGCAGGTCCCGCAGGTCATCCGCGACTGATGCAACCAAAAATTGGTTTTAAATGGGTTTTTTACCCACCCTGGGTCCAGCGCTCACGCTGCTCAGCACTCGTGAAGGGTTGGAGGGGTGGACAAGTGTGTTACAGCCCCCTTTCCCTGCCAGGTATCCCAGTTCAGCTCCTTGAGGAGGAGCAGGGATGCTCCGAGCAGGAGCTGCAGCAAACTGCTGGGAGAGGAGGCTCAAACTCCTCCCGTCGTTTGGCACAAACGCAGCAGTGGGAAAGGCTGGGGAGCCAGACCCGCCGATTAAACCACCCCAGTGCCAAGGACGGTGCCACCTGAGGCTTAACATTAAGATGCTGACTCTCTAGGGTTGTTACTGGGGTTGTCAGGAGTGGCTGATACGCCAGAAGGCTGTGCTGCCGTTCAGGGGGACCTGGCCAGGCTGGAGAGTTGGGCGGAGAGGAACCTGATGAAGTTCAAGACGGGCAAGTGTCGAGTGCTGCACCTGGGGAGGTCAAACCCCATGCACCAGTACGGGCTGGGGGC